CAAATATCTCGGAGCGAGCCTGCTGCCGAATGGACAAAGTAAACACGACATTTTCTCCCGAATCGATGCTGCACGTCGGGTTTTCTCAAGCCTTGTAGAAAGCCTACGCATCAGATGCGTCTTTTCCATCGCCAAGAAGATTCGTGTTTACCGTGCATTCACCCGGTTAACCCTTCTCTGTAAGTAAGTAACAAGTAAGAAACCTTTCTCTGTGGTTGTGAATGGTGAGCTATGCGTGTGGAAGATGAACGAAAACTGGAGGTATTTGACCACCACTGATTGAAGGTCATCATTTCAGGGAAGTGCACTAACTCTGTCATAAATGGGGCAGTCCATACTGAATGCGATACAATCGCAAGACTATGTCAGCTGTTTTTTTTTTTTGGATGGCATGAGGTTGTTCAGGCATGTTCTTCCTCGTCCACATCAAGATTTCAGTGGTGCTGCCCTCCGTCTGGCACCGTTACCCAATTTGAAACGTCAAAGAGGAGCTAGTCTCTAAATCTGGTTCGAGCTAGTTTGACAAGGCATGGAAGCGGTGCTTAGACCTTCGGTATTTGGCCTCCATCAGTGGCGGAGAATGGATTAGAATGTGCACATCTGCCGCGGCGAATCGTCCCGCGTGGAGAGATGCAATCTGTTAAATAATCGGGGCCGGCTAGATAAAGCATGCTCACAGCCATACCAAGTACAAGTAAGTAATATTCTGTGTCAAGAAAGTAATATGGACACTGTCCTTACATACAGTGAATGAGAGTTCACAGTTTCTTGCACTTATTGATGGCACATCTAAGGTACCAACAATCGGCACACTTAGAAAAGACGATGACTTGCTCTAATTACGATTTCTTTTTCTCTATAATCTTTTTTAATAAGTGAGAACTACTTGTGGCGCATGGACTAGTGAGGTGGGTATGCTCCTCTCACCAATTATAAAATAAATAAAGATAGACTAGTTAAAGTTCTTGGCCCTCTCCTCCTTAGCCCTGAAAAGTCGGTAGTGAGGGGAGTAAACGAACCTGAATAGTATAGAAAGGCCGATTGGTACAACCCTCACGAACCATTGCAATTCGAAGTTGTGGTAATGGCCGAACGGGGCGAATGCCAACAATCTTCTTCTGAGGATCAGTGGGTATAGGTGCCCACCATGTACTGGACTTTTCAGGGCCAGGCACAATTAAATCCCTTGTTTTCTCGTTTTCGGTGGCAATAAGTTTGCGAAGGCGAGCAGCAGCAATCTTTCGTAAAAATCTGACACTGCATGGAGTTAGAGATGATCCAAATGTAGAAGGAAGAATCGGTTTCAGAAACAACGACATTGCGCACCGCTATGACGACTACCCTAAAGAAGAAGCATTCGGATGGTAACTGCAAGGTCCGGAGACTGAATCGTTCTAAAAATAGACTATGCCTGTAAATAAC